GACCCGAGGACCCACAAATAAATACACACGAATAACAAGATTCCCCATATTGTTTGATATTTTCTGGGATTTTGTCTTCCCCCTCACTTCCCCATATTCTCATACATTTTCTGGGGAATCGACGATTACTTGTGTCTCTGTGTTTTTCCCCCTCCTAACAAAGGGACGGGCAAGGTGGCGATCTGGACCGCCGCGATTCATCGAGGACGCGGCCCCGCAGCACATGCAGTTCCTGGACAGCGCCTACAGGTAAGTCGGGCCTGTCCGTCTACAGGGGGAATACTCAGAAATAGTAACAAAACAAAGTCTGGGCACTATATTTGACCATGTTTGAACTTTGTTAGTGTATTTTGGGGATATTGTGTAAGGTGTCGTCCAAAATCGGACTGTAGAGGAACAGTTGAGCAAGGACGAACCGTCCCGGCATTCCTGTAGTCCTACCACGAAATGCTCTTGGAACCCAAAGATGTTCTAATAACAAAAACAATGTTCTTAGAACATAAACCCGATGTGATAAAACAAGACAGTCCCAACCAGACATGTTCTGAGAACATTTCGTGGGAGCCACAAGAGGCTCTTAGAACATTGTTTGGTGGACTATGGGCACGCCAGGACGCTTCGCCACTGCTTGAGACAGGCCCGACTTACGCCTACCGCGCGCTGCTGGGCAAGCGTCGAGTAGGGGATCGACTACAGAATTGATGTACCCCCAGATTGATTGTCTCGTCGAACCCATGAGACATGCGTATGAACGTTCGTAGATCTACAAACGTACCACGCATGACTCGGCGAGAAAATCCACTTTGGGGTAAACCAATTCTGTAGACGATCCCGCACTCCAAAGCGGGAGGCCCGGAGCTCCAAAGCGGGCACGGGAGGCTTGTTCGATCGGGGATCTTCTGATTTGGGTCAATCCAGACCCGGGTCAGCCAGGCCTTGCAGAGTCCTGCAAGGTCCTGCCGGATCCTGCATCCAAACCCGGGTCAGTGCGAAGGATCCTGCAAGATCCTACAGGATCCTGCACCCAAACCCGGGTCAGTGGCAGCCTGGCCCTGCAGGATCCTGCAGGATCTGGCGCCCTGGCTGACCCCCGTTCGCATTGACCCCCGTCTCAACCGACCAGCCATAACTGAGGGAGCTGTGGTCCTTACCCCCCTGGGGGAACCCATCGCATCGACGATCTATCGAGAGGGGTGTCGAAATCGATGGGTCCCCCAGGGGGGTAAGGACCACAGCTCCCCCAGTTGTGGCTGGCCTGCTCAAGGCTCCCGACTCGAGAGAGCCTGCGCCTGCCGGGGCAACAGGGCACCCTCGAGGGCGAAGCGGCGCGTGCGGGGGCCGGCCGGCCAGGCCAGGCGCTCGGGCACGCGGGGCGCCGCCTCGCCCGAGGCCCCCCGGGGGTCCCAGGGCGGAGCCTCAACGGTTGTCCGTTTTGGTTTGTTTTCGGTTGTGTCGTCTTTGTGCTCGGTGTTTCGTGTTTTCGTTCTTGGTTTTTCGGGGGTTGTCGGTTTTTCGTCGTTGTTTTCGGTTGTGTCGTTGCTGTGTCCCCGGGGGGGTTCGGTTGTTCGTTTTGCTTTCGTTTCCCCTCGCTCTCGTCTCGAATCCGCCCGTGCCGCACAACGAAGTCGAGGCGAAAGCGGCCCAGGAAATCACCACAAACACCGTTCAGGCGCAGCCCTGCGGGGTCCTAGGAGCTCGTGCAGGCGATCGAGGATCTCTGCGAGTGGGGGCGCCAGGAAGTGGCGGACTTCGAGGGCCAGCGCGTGAAAACGCATCCAGATGACGATCCGGGAGTGCAAGGGCTTGGGTGACCCAAAAGGGGGTCCAGCTGAAAGGTGGTGGTGCAATAGATTTGCGGCAATTGTATTGCAAGTGTACTGCGCCAGAGATGTGTATTGCATGGTATTGCAAGTAGTGTATTGCACGCGAAAGCCCAGCCATACATCTGCGCCCGGGAACGCATTGCACGCCCCAACGGTACTGCAACCCCACAAAATCTACTGCACAAAACCTATTGCACCACACCCTTGTCGCTGGACCCCCTTTCGGGCCAACCCGACTCGCGTGACTACCTCCTCGCGCCCGTGGACGAGGGCACGGGGGAAGAGACTCAGACCGAGGCGAGGCACCGCCGGGGCCTGCCGCTGCTGCCCCGCCGTCCGGCTCCGGGACCGAGGGAAACGCGTGAAGGGGCCGGAGCCCGCGAGGCCGACCAGGACTGCCGCTGCAGCCTCAACGACGCACGATGTTTGCTCTTATAGTCAGTGCCAGTCGTAGGCCTGGCCGTCCAGCTTTGCAGCAACTTTGCCTCTGGCTCCGTCTTTAAGAGGCCTCCTGGGTGGGGTCGGAGCAGATGGGGTCGGAGGATCACGCCGCATCGCCGACACATGGGCGATATCTCGGCGATGCATCGGCGACGCATCGGCGATGCACCAGCGATGCATCGTCGACGTCGGCGGTGCATTGGCAACGTCGGCGTGAAGCAAATCGGGCTCCGCATCGAGCCGCATCGTCGATGCATCGACGATGCGGCGCGATCCTCCGACCCCTAATTATCTGCTCCGACCCCATCCAGGAGGCCTGGAGTCTCAGGGTGTGTATGGTGCGTGCTGATGCTGCAGCATGTTGGCCCGCCAGCCCTCCCTCCTCGGAGCCCAGCCTTCCACCTCCCCTCGGGCGCCCTCCCCTCGGAGCCCAGCCTGCCGAGGGCGGCGCGGGCGCCCTCCCCGCGGAGCCCAGCCCGCACCTCCCCGCCGAGCACCGAGAGCACCGCACACTGCGCCCCCACGCCACGCGGGACGGCCCCACGACGAAGGGCGGGGCGGTGGCGCCTCGGCGCCGACACACGCGCAAAGATCTCGTGCTGGGGAGGAGGAGGAGGAGGAGGAGGAGGAGGAGGAGAAGGAGGAGGAGGAGGAGAAGGAGCCTCCCCAGGAGGCCCCTCGGCGCCGACAAATGCGCAAAGACCTCGTGCTGGCGAGGAGGACGCTCTCGAGCAGCCTCCCCCCCCCCCCCGGGAGGCCCCGAGGGGCAGCGGAGAGCCCCCTCGGGGCGGGACTCCGCCGCGGCCTCGGCCGGCCCTCCTCCGAGCTCCTCCTCCGAGGCCTCCGACATGACCCCGTCGTGCTTCGCCTCCGCCTCCCCGTCGAGCTTCGCCTCCGCCTCCCCCTCTGCTGCTTCTGCTTCTGGCACGGCCTCCTCGCCGGGAGCCATGCCGTGCCCCGCGGCGCGCGCCAGGGCGCGGCGCGGCGCCCCGGAGGACTCCGCGTCCCCGGCGCCGCCGTCGCCTGCGAGGGGGCGCCGCCGCCTCACGGCGGGGGCGGGCTGGCGCCTCGGGTCCCGCGCATGGGCGGCGGCCCGCCCGCGCTTGCCGGGGGCCAGGAGCGACGAGAGCCGGAGGACCCCCATCGCGCGGTGTCGTGGCATGTCTGTCCGAAGCCGTGTCGCCTGATGTCAGTCACGAGCGTCTGAGCCTCGCCCACACATGAGATTCCCGCTGCCAAGACAGCCTTTCTCCTGACATCGGACCTGGCTTCGGAGCGACACGTTTCCGAAGACTCTGAGCGACAGCCTCGCCTGTCTGAGCGCCTTGATCCACAACCGATGGCAATGACGTGCCGTCCACGTCAAGCAGTGCATCATGACTGCAGTCGCAGACGGTAGCGTGCTGTTCGATATAAGCCGCAGCGAAATGTCAATACCACATGCATATTCGCCACCGTGCCGCGAGGCACTAAATTTGCCAGAAAGGGGCTCAGAGAGGGAACTCAAAAGGGCCTTGAGGGCCAGAAACACCACGACAGCCCCCGAGACCGCCTCCAGACCCGCGTGAGGCCCCAACAGGGGCCTCAGAAAGGTCCCCTGGATGCCCCCAGGAGGCCCTCGAGAGGCCCCCAAGACGCCCCAAGAGACCTTCCAAGAGACCCAACGAGGCATAGAATCAACCAGGTGGCAGAATGGGGCGGGATGGGCCGAAGGCCTGTAGATTGTGTGCCCCAACCCGAAGTCGCCATTATCAGCCTCTGCCCAAGGGGGTCTTGACACGACATCTTGTCACAGACATCCGCAAACATGATGTGGCACAATCGCACGTGCTTTTCCCGCGCGCAAAGATCACAACGTGGCCGCACTGAAAGCGACGCTGAGTGCACGTCCCCCGTCCTGCAGCCCCCCCCTGCCCACTCTCCGCTTCCCGCCCTTCCCCCCGCGGCCCTTCCCCCAGGGCCCCTGTCTTCTCGTGCCGCCGCCCCCCGCCCCCCCCCCTGCTTGTCGCACCCTGCCCCCCCCCCCCCCGCCTTCCCCTGTCGCCCCCATCACCCCGCGCCCCCCCTCCCGCCCCACGCCTTCTGCCTCCCCAGACCCCCGACGCCCTGATCTGCTCATCACGTCGACCCCCAGAGGTCTCGGCCCCTTTCCCTGGGCCGGCTTTTCATCCCCAGTCGGCTTTCTTGACGGCCCCGAGGGCCGGCAAGGGCCCCCTTGGAGGCCGGACATGGCCCCAAAAAAACCTCCCGCCATGATTCTGTCACTGCCCGAGGGGGTCTGGGTCCCTCTAGGCCTCCTAGATGGGGTCGGAGTAGATGGGGTCGGAGGATCGCGCCGCAACGCCGATGCATCGCCGATGCAGTCGGCTCGATGCGGAGCCCGATTTGCTTCACGCCGACGTTGCCAATGCACCGCAGACGTCGACGATGCGTCGCTGGTGCATCGCCGATGCGTCGCCGATGCATCGCCGATGCGTCGCCCGTGTATCGGCGATGCGGCGTGATCCTCCGACCCCATCTACTCCGACCCCATCCAGGAGGCCTCTAGTCCCAGACACCGCGCCCCCGGCCCAAGACTTCCCATTCCTCCTCCCTCCTCCTCCTCCTCCTCCCCTCCTCCCCCCTCCTCCTCCTCCTCCTCCTCCTCCTCCTCCTCTCCTCCTCCTCCTCCTCCTCCTCCTCCTCCTCCTCCTCCTCCTCCTCCGCCCCAAAGCTTGCCCCCCGTGGGCCGCCCGCCTTGGCCGGCCCGCCGGGCGGCCGCGGGGCCGCCGCGGCGGGGCCTGGCGGCTGGGCCCTCGCCTCCTGGGCCGCGGCAGCGGTCCGCTGGCGGCGCGGCGGCTAGGCCCCGCCGCCCCCGCCGCTCGCCACTGCCCCCGGAGGTCCGACAGGGCACTGCAAGCTTCCCTTGAGTCGGGCCTGTCCCCCAACAGGGGGATTTTGGCCAAATAAAAGATGCCCCCAAAATGCGCAGAAGGTGCCCAAAAATACTCAAGAAAACAGTCCCTAGACTAGTTTTTGACCATTGTTGAATATACCCCCCTGTAGAGGGACAGGCCCGACTTGAAGCTTCCCATAGTGCGGGCGCGGTCGCAAGAAGTCTTCGCGAGGAACCCAGCCCTGAAAACCCGCGCGCGAGATGCAACCGAGGGGGAACCCGGAGCACCCCGAACGCAGCAGCTCCTTCGACGGCCGCGGGAAGTCACCGCGCATCGCGCGGAGCGAAGAAACTCAGGGCACCCTGACGAAAAAAAATGTTTCTGTATATACACTGGAGGAGCGAAGCGAAAGAAACATGGTGCGGGCAGAAGAAGGGGCAGGAGGATATAATCAGAACTATGGTCCACCGCGGCGCGAGCTCACCAGATCCCTTCTCCGTGGAGGGCACTGCCAGGCCGCGCACTTGCAAGGGAGAGGGGCAGTGACGGCAGCCAATTGAGAGGCGGCAGAAAGA